AATGAGACTCTGGGTCACAAAGCTATTTTATGGCAGAAAGACCAGAACACTGAGATTCTGTTACTTCTTCATCACACTACTACATTTTAAGAAAACAAAATTCTGGTACATTTCTTAAAATTCAGAGGTGCTGTTTTTTTCCTTCTTCCGTGTATTTATTTCTTCAGAGGACATGCATCCAATTAATATATTACTTTGGCTGATAAGCACTCATCAAGCTCTGCCCATTTACTCATTTATTCTGCATGCTTGATTTTTTTTTCCCCAGAGGTCATTAAAAAAAAATTATGTTTTAAGCATTCTTAAACAGCCTAAGAAAACATTTTACCCTGAAAGTGAATTCAGAATACATGTGTTTATTACTAAAGCAAGGACTATGCTTACCAACCCACCATTGTTAGTGAGAATTTAGAATCTTGGCTGACCTCTTACAGAGGTAAAAATCCACCCTTGGTGGGAACAGCTGCGACTGTGAAAGAAGCTACAAATAACATGCTGGGAATTCAGCAGGCACTGTTATTACATCCTGTTTATACTGTCATTTTTCCTATCAGTAGGATATTATTTATACAGACCCCACCCATGAACTTCTTGTTTATCTTATTATAGAAATCCTCCGAATCTATAAAAAGAAACTTCTGTATTTGTTTCTGGAACATGCACATGTGTTATAATTTTGTACCTCATTACACTTTTTTATTTAGCATTTTCTTTTGTTATGCACCACGTGTTCTCATTTTTATCTCAAGGTTGACTCATTTCACATATTAGAGTTGAACTTAAATCTTTTTAGAACTTGTTGTAAGATTCAGGAGTACCACATCCTAAACCTTAAGGTAGGTCAGGTACATATTTTTTGAAGACGCACTTGACTAATTTGTTTAAAGACAGAAAAATGCATATATACACTGATGAGGTACTGCAGGTAGTGAGCTCTAGGTGACCAGAAGGCTTCCATACTCAGGCTCACTCTAACCTAAGTGGACCAACTGCAAGGGCCAGCCTTTATTTAGTTAGTAACCTCACTATTCTCTAGCTAGATCTCTTCTCTGCAATGAAAAGCCTTGCCCCTGAGTTTAGCTTGATGGCTGGGTAGGCTGGGTTAAAAATATAACACAAAATACACAAAAAACACAGGAATTCAGTAAGTTGACCAATAGGACAATGAACCAATCTGGTTATCAATCATCCTCATTCCCCAGGCCTTATATAAACAACTGAAGTAAATAAAATAAAAATGCAAGTTCCTTAAGGGCAAAAATTCACAAAGCATTTGTTGAGCAAGTAAATTATTATTTTTGGAGAGGGCATACCACTGAACAAAGTCACTGGACTAATTTTCGTATGTATAGCTTGTGTTAGCATCACCAGTTCTCTCTCTTTTTTTTTTTTTTTTGAGATGGAGTTTCACTCTTGTTACCCAGGCTGGAGTGCAATGGCGCGATCTCGGCTCACCGCAACCTCCGCCTCCTGGGTTCAGGCAATTCTCCTGCCTCAACCTCCTGAGTAGATGGGATTACAGGCACGCACCACCATGCCCAGCTAATTTTTTGTATTTTTAGTAGAGACGGGGTTTCACCATGTTGAGCAGGATGGTCTCGATCTCTTGACCTCGTGATCCACCCGCCTCGGCCTCCCAAAGTGCTGGGATTAGAGGCGTGAGCCACCGCGCCCGGCCACCAGTTCTCTTCTTAACACTACAAGGCAGCTAGGTAAACAAGGAATGTTCAGAGTACATGTACAATGCTAGACTCTTTGTAAAGGTCACTCTTGAAGAACACTGCTCTAAAAATGCATAACTAAAATGTGTACTAAACCTCCAGGTGGAGAACTAAGCGTAATTAATTTCAGAAAAAAAGAGACGTCTGCAAGGACTAAAGTGGTCAGGAAGTTAGAATGGGGGTAACAGCTGAGATAATCTTGATAAACAGAAATTGGTAGGACTGAGATGAGAAGGTGAGAGGTATCCTTGGGACAACCAAAACTCTGGAAGCATCCAACTGAGCAGAATTCTCGAAATAGCAAATAGTGAAATTCAGCTCGGGGCATACTGAACAGAAGATGGCAAAAAAGAGAAGGCTGGAGTCAGATTACAATTTTTTTTTTTCATTTGAGAGGAAGTTTCACTCTTGTCCCCCAGGCTGGAGTGCAATGGTGCAATCTCGGCTGACTGCAACCTCTGCCTCCTGGGTTCAAGCGATTCTCTTGTCTCAGCCTCCCAAGTAGCTGGGATTACAGGTGCCAGCTACCATGCCCAGCTAATTTTTTATTTTTAGTAGAGATGGGGTTTCACCATGTTGGCCAGGCTGGTCTCGAACTCCTGACCTAGGTGATCCACCAGCCTTGGCCTCCCAAAGTGCTAGGATTAAGAAATTTCATTTTTTAGACAACAGAGAATCATCAAGGATATCTGATCAAGGGAAGATGAACCCAAACTTCTACAGTAGAAATGAAGAGGACAAGAACAAGTTGGGGTGAGGCTGAACTGGGGAAAGACGTTTGTAACACTACCAAATTCCATAGTTATGGCAGCAAAAGGTCCATGTGGTACAGTATATAATAAATGTGTAAATGTATTTTCAGTTCTTGCTTGCAAAAACAGGAGATGATGCCCAGGTGCCATGGTGCCTCACACCTGTAATCCTAGGAGCTCAAGAGTAGCCTGAGCAATATGGTGAAACCTCATCTCTACAAAAAGTAAAAAACAGGCGAAGTGCGGTGGCTCATACCTGTAATCACAGCACTTTGGGAGGCCTAGGTGGGTGGATTACCTGAGCGCTGGAGTTCGAGACCAACCTGGCCAATACAGTCAAACCCTGTCTACGAAAAACACAAAGATTAGCCAGGAGTGGTGGCAGGTGCCTCAAATCCCAGCTACTTGGGAGGCTGAGGCAGGAGAATCGCTTGCGGGGAGGCAGACATTGCAGTGAGCCCAGATCACACCATTGCACTCCAGCCTGGGTGACAGACTCTGCTTAAAAAAAAAAAAAAAAAAAAGTAAAAAATAAAAATTAGCCAGGTGTGGTGGTACACCACTGTAGCCCCAGCTACTCAGGAAGTTGATATGGGAAGACTGCTACACCTAGGAGATGGAGGCTGCAGTGAGCCATTATTACACGCCACAACACTCCAGCCTTGGCAATAGAGCAAGACCCTGTCTCAAAACCAAAAACAAAACATAAATAAAAACGGGATGGCATCATGACTATTACCGAGTGAGGTAATGTTAATGCCAATCCATTGAAGTTAATGTCAGTAAAGTTTACCAGTCTCCTAGAATAGTATTTCTCAAACTGAAATCACCTGGGCTTCTGGTTAAAATGTAAATTATGTTTCAGCACATTTAGAGCAGTACTCAGTAGTTTTACAATTCTAGCAAGCTCCCAGGTGATGCCAATAATGCTGTTCCATGTACTATATTTTGAGTAGCAAGATGGAAAAACACATCTTTCAGTTTCCCTTTCCAAAAAAGGCAATACTATATATAATGCATCATGTTTAACCCATTATAGTTTACCCAATGCCTTTAGATATGCTCAAGAAATGCTTTTTAAAGGTATTTTACTATGATTTGCATTAATTAAGGTTGGATGGGTTTCAAAGCTACTATTTTAAAAGTCCAAAATGATTCAATATTCAGGGAATTCAGTATACTAAGAAATTCTTCTACTTAAAAAGTATCAATGTTGCAATGCTATTGTATAACACTACAATTTTGTCTTTTTTAGTTTTAGTCTGGCAAACTGAAAGATACTATTGCTTCTAGTCATGGAGGCTGAAATGTAAGTACTGAAAGACAACATTTCATCTTTTCAAAGCCCACATCAGTAAGTTTCACCAAAACCTGCTTGACTTGTCCTTACATTGCATTAGGCACCATAACTTGGTCATTGAAGATAAAGGTTACAACATATTTTAAATATCCTATAGAAAAACACCTAAATACTACAACAATTAAACTAACACACTGTCCTTTGGTGTATATATAAGACTGCTACACAGAAAGACACTGTTAATTATTTTACCATAAACAAGTTTGTTTATAAAAATATATTACCAGTGTAATATATTAAACACACACACTATAATATCTTAAAATCAGAAGGTATTGTTGAAGATCAGATCCAAGTATTTCATTGTAGAAGGAAGAAAGCTGAGGCACAGAGGCTGAAAAGCCCAAATTCAAATAGCCAGCTAGTAGAATGTTAATAAAAAGAGGGGAAAATTAATTTTTATATCTATTAATACACAAAGCACAACAATGAAGCAACTACAAAATGTAGTTGAAAGAGTTTCTGGTTCTCCTAACGACTAAGGTCCAGTTAATTTTTTTTTAACGGTCTTAGAAATCACTGGGATCTAGGAAGGAAAGATCACACATTAACAAAGAAAAGACATCTGCCCCCAAATTTAAGAACTTCATAAAAAATGCAATCTGAATAGAGAATGACACATATACACCACATACTAAGGATGGGGCTTGGGTGGGGGTGGAGAATGGGATGGGATATAAAGAACAAAGAGAAGACAACGGTAACTCTTCTCAGTAATGTTTCAAGGAATGCTTTTACATATGGAAACTGGTTTAAAAAATAACTTTCTTTACCCTCATGAATAATTTTTTAACTGGTATAATCAGGGATTATATTTGGAGGACTACAAAGCTTTTAAAAATATATAGTATAGAAAGCAGTTGGATGTGCATGTGTCATACACTCTGTTACAATTAAAAGCAAACTATAGGAACCTTTTTTAGCCACAAAATAGGGAATTTTGTGCTTATTACAAATGCTATAAAATTTACTAGCACAAGTAAAAAAAAGTCACTAGAGAAGTTCGGTGATATTGGAGACAAAGGGTTTTAAATCACAGGCATATATTATTATGCCTAAGTTGACAGATCTGCAATGCAGTGCAGAAATGCAAGCAATATTCCAACATCTGCACCAGAAGGCAGAGACTAGACATGATTCCAGAATAAAGGGCTCTTCAGCTCTTACCTGTTACCTGTGCAACAACTGCTTGGGAAATCCTCCGATTGGCAAGAAAGGCTTTGATTTCCTCTTTTATCACACTGCTGTCCCTCCTAACAAAAACAGAAGACAAGACCAACAATGTATGTTGAAGGTAGAAATCCTCATCTTTGCTAAAAGAAAGGTGAAGCAGAGAGGTGGGGAGAACACAGAAAGGACACAAAAATAAAAGGTAAACAGACCAAACTTGTGTGAAAATATGAAATTACAATGAACCAAGAAACACCAAATATTCAAGTCCTAAAACATCACACCATCAGACAGACGCTTTAGTGAAGACCACAGCAGATATAAGTCTCATACCAGAGGATGGTTAATCGCATGCTCTGTATAATTCACATTAGGAACAAGGCTGTCATATGGTATATACAAAGTTTCATTACTGGGGAATGAATATATCTTACACAGACAGAAATCCTAGAAAAATAAAGAGCAACAACAACAAATTCAGTTGTGAGCAGATTGTGGGCTCGCATGTTAACTACACAACTGCATGAATAATGTTCACTTAAAAACTTTTAAAATGATTAAGGAAAAAGAAATCATCATTCTCACAACTGTAAAAATGTTAGCCATCTGAAGAAAGGCTTTGCTCTTTAACTTCTTTTCCTGTATAAACAAAAAATTTAAAGTGGGATGAGTTGAATATAAAGTTTTAGTATTAAAAAGTCATTTATTCATTTTGTATCATATATAAGAATACTTAAAACTACACAATATTCAGTGTCCTTGATATTATATTATAGATCTCATTTTTCCTCCACTAAAATGCCTGTAACAAATTTTTAAAGACTCAACAAATTCTCAAAAGACTAGACATTCACAAGAATGACAATGAATGGCAAGACTTCTGTTTCTCCACCAGAACAAGTATTAATAAACAAAACTTATAGTTAAACCCTTAAAACTGACCAATTTCTCGTTGAATGCTTTATCTTCAAAAGGATTACGTAAATAAGGCAGTGGTTTCTGTTCAAGCTCAAAAGTAACACAGAATAGAGATAACTTCTTATCTAACACACGGTCAGAAAATTACGGCCTATGGGCTACTTCCGGCCTGCCACCTATTTTTATACAACCTATGAGCTAAGAATCATTTTCAGAGATGGACATTTGCAATCAATTTGATGACAGAAAATGCTAATAATAAACACAAACTAAGCAAAATATTATCCCTCCCCCTGCAATTTCATTCTATATTTTCAAAAACTGTACCCAATTATTATTATTCTGCATTGACTTTTGTCAATAGAAATTTGTGGCTGTTTGTTTTCTGTCTTGTATATGTCTCTACATTATATCCCTTTTTTTTTGGGACGGAGTCTCACTCTGTAGCCCACGATGGAGTGTAGTGGCACGGTCTTGGCTCACTGCAACCTCTGCTTCCTAGGCGTAAGCAATTCTCCTGCTTCAGCATCCTGAGTAGCTGGAATTATAGGTATGCACCACCACACCTGGCTAATTTTTGTATTTTTAGTAGAGATGGGGTTTCACCATGTTGGGCAAGCTGGTCTGAACTCCTGACCTCAAGTGATCCTCCTGCCTTGGCCTCCCAGAGTGCTGGGATTATAGGTGTGAGCCATCATGCCCAGCCTATGTCTCTACACTATAATTTTGCCTCTTGGCCAAAAAGTCTAAAATTCTGACTATCTGGTCCTTTAGAGAAGAAGTTTGCTGACCCCTGATCTGAGACAAAGGGATCACAAAACCTTAACAACTGTTTCGTGAAAGAACCAGAAACTCTTTCGAGGGGTTCACATCTCTCCATAGACTATTTGGAAAAATTAAAGCATCCCATTCAAAAAACAATGAGTTGTGATTTAACTTGGATGAGGTATTTGAGCTCATCCAGACGAATAGGTGTTACATGATCTATTGTAAGGACTCTGTTGTAAATCCATGCTCCCTTTGGGAAATTTTGGAAAATAACAGAGAGGTGATTTCAATCTGTAGCTCCACAGGATACGGCTGATCTATCTGTTGAAAATCCTAATAAAAATTATTCCTAAAGGAAAAAAAATAATCAAATGCCTAATGCAGTATTTAAAATTTCTCATACTAATCTAGATTCTGGTTTTGATTCTTCCGAAAATGCCTGCCTACATCTGAAATATTTCTTTGAAAAATATGCATTCACATTTTATTTTAAAATTGTGTATACGAAAAAGAAAAAGGTACAAATAAATATATTTTAAAGTCAAACAAAATAACTGCTGACTAAAATGCAGGTAATGTAGAATGAAAGCTTTCTAATATGCATCGATAAGCAATGTGCAAGAGGTAACCTCAGCACTACTTCAATTGGCTTATACAAATAAAACAATGAAATCATTTGGTTTCTAATATAAATATAAAATTAACCTGAAATTTTTTAAAGTATTGCTTTTATATATAGAATGATCCTACAGAGAAACGAAACTGAATTTAAGAGGGTATTTCTTCAGGTTAAATAAAAAAATGTACTTTTGTGGGGGAAAATAATTCAATGGGGTTTTCTGACTACTAATTTACATTGAAATTTAAATCAATTTATTTTAAATCAAATTCATCTACAGTAGACACTAAATCATACAGAACAGATAAGTCAATTATTGCAATAAGAAATATCCAGTTTGTAAATTATTCACAGCCTTGCAGCATGATATATATTACTAAGGACTGTACAAGACAGAAGGAACCCCAAAAATCTGCCAAACAGTAGCAATTCACATTTTTAGATACTTGACAAGTTTCTAAGTACTGATAATGTTTTAAAAAATGGAAATAGCCAGGCATGGTGGCTCACAACACCTTAATCCCAATACTTTGGGAGGCCGAGGCAGGCATATCACTTGAGGTGAGGAGTTTGAGACCAGCCTGGCCAACATGGTGAGACCCCGCCTCTAACAAAAATATTAAAAATCTAGCTGGGTGTGGTGGTGCGCACCTGTAATGTCAGCTACTCAGGAAGCTGAGGCAGGAGAACTGCTTGAACCCTGGAGGCAGAGGTTGCAGTAAACCGAAGTCGTGCCACTGCATTCCAGCCTGGGCGACAGAGCGAGACTCCGCCTCAAAAAAAATAGAAATTAAAAATCTTCACTGCTTTACCACAGAGCTTTCTCAAAAATCAAAACAAAAGACTTAAAATATAAGGGTATGTATGGGCAAATCATTTAACAAAGCTGAATCCCTACTGTTTCATCTAATAAAATAAAAGCATTGGCCAGGTGCAGTCACTCATTCCTGTAATCCCAGAACTTTGGGAGACCAGCCTGGGCAATATGGGGAAACCCCATCTCTACTAAAAATACAAAAATTAGCCAGGTGTGGTGGCACACGCCTGTAATCCCAGCTACTTGGGAGGCTGAGACAGGAGAATTGCTTGAACCCAGGGGGTGGTGGCTGTAGTGAGCCAAGACTGCACCACTGCAATCCAGCCTGGGGCGCCAGAGTGGAACTCCATCTAACAACAACAACAACAAAAAGTATTAACACCCCCTTCACAAGGCTTTTAAATTTTTTCTCCTAGCAATGAAATTAAATATACATGCCTGTAATACACAGAACCAAAAATTCATTGCAAAAAATTTTTTGAAGTTATAAAATGCTACAAAAACACTATTATTTTATAAAAATTCAGAAAAGTTCCCATGAAAAGAAGAAACAACTGATCTGCTATAATCACATAAGACCGAAGTAAACATCTATACCAGGTACTTTAAGGTAGCATTAAGAGTTCTATACACAAGCCCTGATGGGTCATTTAGTTGGTTTCACTAGGTATTTTCAAAAATAGTAAATAGATTCTACTTTCGTTGTGTCCAGTTCTCTTAAGTATTTTTTAAAGTTCCACGCTAGTAGGTTAGCTTTGTTGTTCAAACTTTGACATCACCCTTCACCTCCACCACCCCCACCCCGCCTTATTCTCTCCTCATTCAGCCTTAAGGACCGCTACTACTATTGTCCTCATTGTAATCTATGAAATCACCACTTTATTGTGTGAAGTGAAACTTCATTTACTCTAAATCTAATTCTCTCATCTTCTCCCACACCTCATTTCTCTCTTCATTGCAATTTAACATCCTCCTTAAAAAGAATGTATCCTCTCCTTCCTCTCTTCTAAAATCTCATACTCTTCAAGAAGATTTCTGTGCCTCAAGTCTTAATGGGATTAAAGCGAAGCGTAGGCTGATCTTGTCTTTAATTCCATGGCTTACTTCAAATATAAGCTACTTGCTTGATTTGCATCTAACCAGTTTATGTCCATGTCATTTCCTCCTACTGCCTTTTTCAAATTATTGCCATGCTAGATTCATCTGCATGATTTCCACACCAGGATGAAATTCTTCCCTCCTACCCTCCATTGCCATTATTTTTATAACTTGCTAAACTTTCCACTGTTACCTATAGACCATTCTTAGTGTATGGATGAATTAATCAGTGATGCCTCTTTATGGAATCCCCTTTAACTAAGGCACAATTTAACTGTCATCTATTCAAAGAACTTCTCCCTGATCTCAACAGCTTATCTCTTCTTGCAATGGCTAACTTTAACATTTCAATATTACTACTCACATGCTAATATATTACATGCTGTTCTGTATTATAGTTGTTCCTAATCTTCTCTCTCCTACTACCCTGTAAAGTCCTTTAGCACAAAGACTGTACCTTATTCATTATGGGGTTTGCATATAATAGAGCTTAATTTGTTCAATGAATGAAAAAATCTGTCGTTGGAGATAAAAGCTTGTAAAATGGAAAGCCTGATCTAGATAATTTATAAAACAGCTTTAAATTTTTATTCTCAAATAGATTTAAGCTTACCAAATCAGACAGGAAAAGAATTATTTACAGTAGTTCAAAATGACATTGCTTCTTTTTCTAGAACAAAGAATGCTAAAGACCACCTATGTTAAAAAATGATATGCTTTAAGATCTTCCATATTTTCACAGTTAATATACACTGCACATTCTTTAGGATCTCTTAAAGGTAATCACCTCTCTCAAAGACTTCCAGAGATGAAGCAACACCAACCAAGACAGACTATTTCATACTTCGAAAAATACAATGATGTACAAATTTCTTTCACGTTTGAATAAAAACTTTTTCCCATAAATTTTCACCCATGGAGATAAAGTATAACCTTAAATTTTAAAAAATAACTCAAAAAAAGTTACTATATATGTATCAATGACATAGTAACTGGATATCATGACCATCTTGTCTTATCTACAGAACATGCACATCCTACCTATGCAAGTAAAATACTTGGCCTATAGATAACCAACTTAGAATAAAGTCTCAAAGTTTTAAACAAAATACTAACATATCATAAAATTTAGTACATGGGTGGTTAACAATAACATCTTTAATGTATGGTATTATTAATGAATTCTGATAAACTTCATTTAAATTATTTCATAATATGTATCTAAAACACACATTAGGAGCTTTATGTTATTAGCAGATGTGTATATACACACACCCCTACACATATATTTGTGTATTAATAGATGCATTTTTAAACATTAAAATGTAAAATAGGTCTTTATTTTTGGCTTTAAAGTCCTTCCTAAAGTGTTATATTCAACAATCTGTTAAATTCATATGCTAGTTTACCTTTTTTTTTTTTTACCCTAAATCAAAAATGAAAAAAATCAAAGTTACTTTCTCACTCTTTCTTAATGAGTTGATATGGTATACAATAATAACTTGATGAAGTTCTACAAAAAAATCTCCATTATGGGCTGGGCACAGTGGTTGACACCTGTACTCCCAACACTTTGGGAGGCCGAGGTGGGCAGATTACTGGAGGCCAGGAGCTCGAGACCAGCCTGGTCAACATGGTGAAACTCCATCTCTACTAAAAATGCAAAAATTAGCTGGGGGTGGTGGTGCATGCTGTAATCCCAGCAACACGGGAGGCTGAGACACGAGAATTGCTTGAACCCAGGAGACGGAGGTTGCAGTGAGCCCAGACTGCAACACTGTACCAGCATGGGTGACAGAGTGAGACTGTCTCAAAAAAAAAAAAAAAATCTCCATTATGTATCTCGAAATTACTAGTAGTTAAGTTTGTAAAGTCAATAAATTATAAGATTGTAAAAAATGTGTCTTGAGTTTGAGTTGAGGAATGTGAATAAGCAAGAGGTGAAGCACACAGGTAGAAAAGGAGACAGTAAGGCATTCAGGTTCCCAGGCTCCCCCACCCAAGACCACCACTTCCAATGGGCTATAGTATCACCATAGCGTCTAGTGATCAGCAAGGGCAGTACATTCTTAAAAGGGCACAGAATACTCAGAAAGATCCACTGCTCAAAATATTTCTCTAACATTCCACTAAACAAAAATTCACTTGGTTAGTAAGTGATCATTTTGAAGTAGCAAATATCATGGGGGAGGGGAATGCAAAGCCCATTATGGCAATTCATACTATGTCTTATGTTCATTAACCACCTTCCCTAAAATCTTATTAAAATCTACATGAAAAATTTATTTAGAGAGGCAATGTACACCAGTGACATATTGATAATAAAGACATAATTTAGACTCTGCCAGTTAATATTTAAGTTCTCTTGGGAAAAGTATTTAATTTTTGTGAATTTCAGTTTCTCTGATGAACCTCACATTATGGTTGTAATGATTACAAGTGAGAATGTCATCCAATAAACTTTCCCACTAACCCAAGGATTGTTGTCATCTACAACCGGAGAAGCATGAGAGGGGACACAATGGAGGAAGGCAGGAGTGCAGCAGTGGGTGAGAGTGCAATGGCGGAGGACCAGAGAGATCCAGAAGGGCCACTGAGACCCTGAGATGATCAGGAGAACCCAAAGCAGCAGTTCTAATAAAGAAGCAGAGAAACGGAAGAAGATGAAGTGTCCTGATTATACAACAAGTGGTAGTATATAAATTAAATACTGATAAAGTATAAACCTGTATATATTTCACAGTAAAACTGGCATGTATGTAATTATGGGATTTAATTACAAATCCCAGTCACTGCTAAATAGGTTTATTATTTTGAGCATACAGTTGAATTAAAACAGGCCAACCTATGAGTTAAAAGTCAAGTTTTTAGACCCTTATTATTCTGGACAATCTTCTAGAGGCTTTTACAAATGAGTTTTCCCATACTTCTTGTTAGTCTTATACACATTTAAGAATTAACTATTAGGCCAGGTGCAGTGGCCCACGCCTGTAATCCCAGTACTTTGGGAGGCTGAGACAGGAGAATCACCTGAGGTTGGGAGTTTGAGACCAGCCTGACCAACATGAAGAAACCTCATCTCTACTAAAAATACAAAATTCGCCAGGTGTGGTGGTGCATGCCTGTAATCCTAGCTACTCAGGAGGCTGAGGCAGGAGAATCACTTGAGCCCAGGAGGCAGAAGTTACCATGGGCCAAGATTGTGCCATTGCACTCCAGCCAGGGCAACAAGAGTGAAACTCCACCTCAAAAAGAAAAAAAAAGAACTGCTATGAAGAAATCTTATCACAACTGATTAACAGGAACACCACCAAAAAACCAGGTTGGCATCCTTTTTAAATTGATGATATCCTCTCTACTCAGAATAACTAAAAGCTAACCTTGTTATGTTTCAATGAGCGAAGTAACTTTTATTTGCCCAAATAGTTCTCGCTCTTAACAATGTTACATTCAAAAGCAACACCTGAACTTTGGTCACCTATTTTAACACATGAAAAGGAATTCAAAGCCAAGTTAATCTCTTATATTTTTAACTTTAAAAAAAATTAGCCAGCATGGTGGCACACACCTGCAGTCCTAGCTACTCGGGAGGGTGAGGCAGGAAAATCACTTCAGCCTGGGAGGCAGAGGTTGCAGTGAGCAGAGATCACACCACTGCACTTCAGCCTGGGTGACAGAGTGATACTCCGTCTCAAAAAATAAAACAATAATGGCTTGTAACTCTAACTGCTGTAACAAACTATTAATTACATAAACTATTAACATGACACTGGAATCCACATACAATAGTCAATTTAGTTAAGAATTTCATTTTTAGAATTTCCACCTAAAAATAAATTCAGGACAGTTTATTTGTTTTAAGGATATTTCAGCATTGTGGTACTTCAGGACAGATCTTCCATGGGGCAATATTAAGTCACTATTATTCCATCTTGAAGTTTAAAAATCTTTAGGAAGAATTATAATGATACTTATAGGTCCTATTTTTATTTCTGACAAATTCCTGCTATAGTTTCTTTCATTATCTACTGTAACTAATTTATCTGTACGCTCTTTTGCTTCTATGGCAGTGGAAATCCAGTGAAAACAATACTTTTATCATCTCTATTCCTAGAGAAGTTTTTACAAAATGCCTCAATTCCAAGAAAAGTAAATAAACTAGTATGGAACTCAAAGTCTCCCAAAACTTGTATTGTCTCACCCATCAGTAATCTTTATCAGCCTAAAGACATGGCTTGCCTTTTCTGCCCTTAACTTCAAATAAAGTTCCGGTATTTTAAAAACAAATGCTATTCTTTAGCACTTAGGTCAAGGTCATCCTTCACTGAACATATTAGGCCCTTACCATGTGCCAAGGAAAGTTCCAGATCCTGGAGGCACAATGAAAAACACATGGTGTTACCCTCAAGCAGTCCCAGGTCCACAGTGAAGCCTTTCCTAATTCCCTCTGTTGAAAGTGGATTTCTTTTCCCAGTGTTTAAAATTCTAAGTGCTTAAACTTATAAAAGACAATATGTGCGTGTGTGAGTGCATATGTGTGTCTGTTGCTAAAATTAAAACCTATGTAATAGGTACCCCGTGTGTGTGTGTGCGTGTGTGCGTGTGTGTCATCTATTGCTAAAATTAGAACCCCACATAATAGTTACCCCAAATTATTTTCTTGATTGGAATGTTGGAGAGAAAAGTTAAGAGTGTATATATTCCGTATAAAGATAGAATTATCCCTCAGAAAAAGTGCTTACAACAGATTTAAGGATTAGAATGTGTCTGTTTTTCAGAAATTAGCTATTAAGAGTCATAGAGAAGACTGGTGTTTGATAAAGAGAGAATGGAAAAGGTGCATCAAGCAGCAAAGAGAAAGGGCTGAAGTAAAGGAGAGAAAATTTAAATTAAAAACATAAAACTTGAACTTTCTTTCATCTCCAAAGGCAAGAAGAGGAAGTTACAACAGTTCTTACAGCTAAGTAGCTGAAATGCAGCATACTACCTAAAAACGATCTAAGAACACAGACATTTTTAGGGACTCTGAATAAGCAAAGTCACTAACCTCATTAATTCCTCCACTTTATCATCTACATCTAGGTCCTCTTCTGAGGCTTCAAAACTGTATGATCTCTGACCCATGCTGTTTGCATGGTAGCGAGTTGGTGACATCTTTCCATTGGACGTAGATAATCGCTCATTATTCTCCCTCCCATTTTGATTGGTAGTGCAAGGCTGTGGGGAAGTATCATAGCTGTTGCTAGGTGATGGGGACATTCCCGAATGCTGTGTCTGTGTGGAAGCCGTAGCTGTAGAGGAAGATGCTGGGACATTGTTGGTACTATTCCCATATGAACTTCCTCCATAGCTGGACCTTCTTCCAAACTTGTCACTATGCTCTTGATCAAGACGGTCCAAAGTTTCCAAGGCATGGAGAATTTCATGTTTAGTCATTCCAGTACGCCGAAGGCGCTGAAGCAGATCTATCTGCTCTATGGTAAATCTGGGTTCATCTGTATAAATCAGCACTTACAAGAATGGTAAAAGTATGCCTTAGAAAGAAAAAAAAAAAAAAAAAAAGATAAAAAGAAGTCTCTTTATTGACAATATCTACTAAAGCACATATCATTATAGAGAATGCTCAGCAGAAGCCGCAATATTTTTACATAAACTTCTTTATTGAAAATTAAGATATGTTCCATGCTAGAATGTTTTTGCCTTGGCAAATGGAATGGTATAGGTACTATATGTATTACTAGGTGAACATGGGCATAACATAAAACCTAATTTCATATGGCATACAATTTATATTTTCCTCAGTTTTGGTAAATATCAGAACCAAAATATTAGTTATGTAAATAATACCAAAACAACAGATTAGGTACATAGAGGGCATAAGCCCAGGCTATGTGACAGTTCACAAGTGTTTTGTCTATCTCAAGTATATTATTCCATATTAGAGTATTAATGGAAAATTGCTGAAAAATTTGTTTGTATTACATTATTTACCAAATATTAGCTAAACTGACCTAAGAATTCTCTACAACTTCATTTAGTGAAAACAAATAATTTGCTAAGCAAAGTCCAAGAAAATGCTAATAACCAGCAAAAATATTTAAGTGGAAAAGAGAGGTAGATTTTTTTAAAAATTTAAGCACCATTTCATCCATTACTTAGCAATTTCTTACGTTTTTCATCTCTGGTAATGCATTCTCTCTTAATAACTACACTGGGAAATAGATCTTTCATGGTTGTGGCCAAACAGAGCTACTCATTTTTCTTAGGAAATTGCTTCTACATGTTTAACTAGCACAAGATACTGCAGCACATCAGAAAATGTTTTCTTAGAGTGAATAACAATATTAAGAGAGCAAATACTGTAAAAATTCTCACTACTTGAATTCCTTTTTTTTTTTTTTTTTTTTGATATGGAGTTTCACTCGTCACCCATGCTGGGGTGCAAAGCCATGGTCTTGGCTCACTGCAACCTCAGCCTCCTGGGTTCAAGCCATTCTCCTGCCTTAGCCCCCTGAGTGGGACTACAAGCACCTGCCACCAAGCCCAGCTACTTTTGTATTTAATACACCTCCTCCTCCCAAAGTACTGGGATTACAGGCGATAGCCACTGTGCAAAGCCTTGAATTCCTTTCTCATGAGACCTGACTTTCTCATTCACGATTTTTAAAAGTGGTAACCTCTTTTATTTTGATTTTTATTGTTCTAGTGCCAAATATAATGCATGACATGTAGTAGGCTCTCAATAAATGTTTGCAGATGGAAATAAATGTCAAGGAATTTTTTCATCTTTCTCAAACAAACATCTGCTCTGGGCCAGTGCCCCATAGCTATATTGAAGGTCTCACTGTTTCTTCATCCTTCTACACGAAAACTTTATTGAATAGTTACTTCTAGGCAGTTATTACATAAGAGGTTCACATAACATAATCTTATCCAATCTTCACAGCAACCCTCTGTGGTAGATGGTCTTTATTCATTTCATTTTATGTTGATAGACTGATTACTGAGGAAACTAAGGCTCAGAGTAGGTTTTGTACCTTACAAAAAATCTGAATAAAAAGTAGGAAAAGATTTAAGCCTAGATTTTATTGACTCTAAAAGCACACATCATTCTCTTTTCCAATAAGTTGCAGGACTTAACTGGAAACATATGATTTGAGACACAGGTTGTTCTACTCATTTAAGTCTCAGTTAAAGCCATTTAGATAAAACTACTCGAATTACTGATGAGCCTAGGGGCCTGAGCAATAGTTTTCTACATTTAAAATCCTTGATCCAACTAGAATTTTTATTGACTTAACAAGTATAAAAAATTGCGGCTTTATTTCATCCCAAATGGACAGATAGATATCATATGTCTTTACTGAATATCTGTCTTCTCCTCTGATGTGAAATGCTGCCTTTATCATATACACAATTTCCATATCAATCTGCACTACCTTTGGATTGTCTATTCCATTTCACTGATGTTTTATCTTTCAAATCCTTTTAAAAATAAGTAGGCAGAAATCTAGAACTTCAGGTGAAATCATCCTAGTTTTAAAAAGAAGCTCATTAAAATAAAACAAAACCAAACACACACATTCTGTGACCCTATACATGTTGCAGGCCATTTGTGCCCATGGGCCACAGTATCTGCCCTACACCTACAAATGTTATGGTCTGATTTCTTCCAATACTCTCTTGTGATGAGATGGCCATCATGTTAAAAAGACCTATTTTCATGATTATTATATTCTTTCTTGATGGCTTAGGTTCCCCCACAATATATTACAATGAAAATATTTAAACAAACATTCTCTTCCCTTGAAAATGAAGTAGACCTGTTTGTTGCTATCTTCAGTCTTCATGTTATCAAAATATTTCATAAAGTGATCCTACTTTAGATGACTTCAATAACTACTGTTTTATTATATGGACAAAAATCCCCAATCATAGTATTTTCCTATAGTATTCATATCAGAGCAGTTAGTTATCTGTATACAGTTATTCAAACCACTCCCTGTATGAAGCAGCACTCTGTATTAGCATAAATAAAAGTAAATTATATGAATTTCACCTATTATTGAAAAGTATCCACCCTAACACTTGAATTAGAAATGTCAAAACTAAAGATTTCACAGCATATGAAACAATCTAGTATTTCATGTCATTTCAGAGTCACTGACTATTAGAACCACTTTTATTCCAAAAGTCATAAAAGGAACAACAATAGGCACTTATTACTTTGTCTGCCTAGAACACCTCATTGTTTCTAGGCACATGTTCTTGGGCTATCACTTATAATACCCACCTTCTGGCCAATAGGGTAGGCGCACAAGAAAGCCAAGTCTTGCTCTCCCCAAAATTTTCTAATCAGATGAGGGAAAAGGTGAACAGTCACCATAACTGTGCTCAGATGCAGGAAGATATTAGTCTGGTAAATTCCTCACTACAGGGAAGCAGCTAGTTTGTGGAAGGATGAAGCAGACATGCTAAGAAACATAGAGCAGACCAATGGAGAAAGCTGTGCAGTGCTCACATCCCTTATTCCAATAATCCCTAAGCCCCAATACATCCCTGCTCTTCTTGCTGTTTTGTTTCAGCAGAGAATACATTTCCCTTTATGTTTCACCTTGTTCAAATCAGATGCCTGTGCCCTGCACTGAGAGGCCCCTAATGCAAACAAGACCTAAAGCACAAAGATCCACAATTGTTAGAATGATCACTTGTATGATCATTATAGAGCAAAATGATTAAGAGTATAACAAACAGGATCGAAACATGCATGTGACACTGAAGATACAATATTTTACTGAGAAAATGCTAAGAAGCTCTTCTGGATATTGAGAATAATGTTGCAATGTGTATTAATATAAACAAAAGCATATATGCTGGCGTTTCAAAATTTTATTTCTCATAATTTACCTAGTTTAAGCACATAATCATGAATTTATGGCAGTAAATGACCTACAACGGTCATCTAAGTCCATGATACCAGCAATTCTTTTATAACAGAAAAAGATAACATGTAAGAATTGAATTAATTTTCTTATGCACAAAGATTGTTCACAGGATAAGGAACATGTTTCACTTTAAATTACTAATCTGAATGCAGACTCAGGCCAACAATAATTGAAAATGATGTGAGAAGAATTTCAACACTGTAATAACAGACAATTTTAAGGCATAAAAGAACAATTAAATGCAGGAATTACAGCTCAGTTCATAAACTGATATTCTAAGAAAATATCATACCACTAAGACCATAATAATACTTTTCATAATATATTTTATCCTGATTTGAATATTTACCTAAACCCTTCTTGGATAAGGCATGATCCAGAATATACTTTCATAAGCTAAATACTGCAAACATGTAGAGCAAAGACAGTTAAAGCATTCACAAATGATTAACCTTGAAATCACATGGGTAAAAAGGGCATTACTACCTTACTTGTAAAGCACCAACAGTTGGTAAAATTTTACTGGATAACAGCTTTTTCTTCAGCTCAATTCTGCTGCCTTTATTTTTATTATCTAGAATGACTAGGCAAAATAGGTTAGTTTTGTTTTGCATACATGATATTTACACACTCTCTAGTGTGCATAATTTAACACACTCTAGTGTCAATAACACACTCTATGCATGATAATTTAACACACACTAGTGTCAATCACAGTATTTTAATCCAGGAGTGAACTCTCCATCATCTCAGGAATGTTACCTCACATCTTATCAAAATCCATATGTGAGTTACTGTCCCAACTACTGGACTTCAAAACACATATACACTCAAGAGCTTAACAGACACTTTGGGAGCTTAGACTGCAGCAGGGCTACTCTCTGTCAGCTGCTTCTCCAAAACCAGAGAGCTCAGGTGCAACATGCCTCAGAGCTTTTACACCTCACAAGCCAGCACTTTCTAGCACTGAGTAGCCTAACATGTGGTTCAGAATCTCAGCTATGGTGGTCAAGCCAGCTTCTCCCAAGAACTGCTCATATAAACGTACACTTCCACCTTTAGCCTTCACTTGAACACAGAGGCCTCCTTCATCAGAATTGAACAAAGAGACTTTAATAGCTTTGGAACACATTCACAATGTGGTTAATGTTCCTCATCTATTGAGTGTATTCCCCGTGAAGTGCGTCCATGTTACCTTCCCCATCATTAAGTACTGTGAACCCAAGAAAACATTCTCCTTGTATGGCAATAAACACAGTGATTCATGAAATGACACTTTGATCATCTTTTTTCTAACATATGCAACAGAAATCCAAGTACAAACATGTATGTTTATAGACGGAGATATAAATTAGTGTGGAATGAGAGAACTGGAGACCATTTAGCCAAAAACCATTCACTTAAGTAACATTTATTGAGTGCCTACTATGTAACAGATCCTGTGCGACGCACAGAGGACACAACAAGGAACAAATCAGGCAACAACTCATGGCTTCATGATGCTTACATTCATTTCAATAGCCATTAGACACTTACTATTTTCAACAGCCATTAGACATCTTAACTCTCTTGAATGT